CCCCTCCGACCACGAGCTCTGCATTGCCGTCCAGTTTGGGAACAGCAAGGCCACCCCGCCGCCAGGTAAGCAGGAAGGGCACTGTGATGAGATAGGGATGCATGCAAAGCACCTGCCATCAGTGTGTTCCCATGCATCTGGGGACTCACATGCACTCCCAGCCCTGCGCTCCTTGAATCAGAGCCCAGGGCACTGGCCAAGGCCCCTCAAACCGCCGCAGGGCACCCATCAGTGTGTTCCCATGCATCTGGGGACTCACATGCACTCCCAGCCCTGCGCTCCTTGAATCAGAGCCCAGGGCACTGGCCAAGGACCCTCAAACCGCAGCAGGGCACACGTGGGCGCAGCACCAGCAGCATAAGCTGCTTTAGCTGGGTACCACTTGCTGCATAGGGGACACAAGCACACAACTGCCTACACAGAGCTGCACCAGGGCGGGGGAGAGCAGCGTGGCCATGGGAGCAGCACTGGGGGTGAATATAGGATGAGGTGGGAGTCACTGTGGGACCTGCCACAAAGCTGCATCCCTCTCCTCCCACCGAGTCACATCCCAGCAGCAACGAGCATCTGCATCCTGCACCTGCAGGTCTCAGCCCTACACTGCTTTTAGAGGGTGGCTGTGTCCTCAGGCGGGGGAGGGAACATCACTCAAAGGCAGCCCGGAGCCAGGATCAGGGCTGTGACACCCTTCAGGTTGGGGCTTCCCTCACTGCTGCGGTGCTCAAAAGTGTCAGCATCTGGATGGAGGGTGTCCCCTTACCCTGTCCCATCCTGGGGGGTGCTGAGACACTCGCCAGCAAGGAGCTCTGTGCCCCCTGCATCAGCCTGGTGTGCCCTGGTGTGCTCTGCTGCCCAGTAGCAGAGGAGCTACTGGGTCTTCCCAGAATGTCCCTGTGGAGCTGGAGCTGGCCCAGGTGACAGGCACCAGCAGCAGGGAGCTGTGACAGTGGCTGGTCTCTCACTGCAGTGTCCAAGATCTGCACCCAGTGCGAGATGGAGCACAAGGCGGATGGCATGATGGAGCAGATGTGCTCCAGTGACTTCGGTGAGTGCTAGGGTCCCTTCCCACCTCCACCCCCCCAGACAAGGGGCTGCCCTTCCTAGCTCTGACAGGGTGCTGTTGTACAGGGACAGCCCCAGGGGAGACTATTCTATCGGACCCTGTGTGCATGGGATGGATGCACCACAGAGAACATCAGTGGGGGGACAGGCAGAATGGGATATTTGGGAGGGTCTCTGGAGGCATATGCTGAACACCCCCCAACAGCCCCTTCCCCTCCCCATGCAGTAACTTCCCCAGCGTGGGCACAATACCAGCAGTGGGACTCTTCTTCTGGGTCCCTCCCCAGGGACAGGCTGCACCCTGTCCTGCACAGTCGCCTAGCCAGGACCCCCCAGCAGCACCCTAACAGTGCCCCACTGTCTACCCCCACACCATGCCCCACTGCTGCCCCACACAGTGGTGAAGATGCGCATCAAGGAGATGACAGAAGAGAATGGGGAGCGGCGGCTGGTGGCCGCCCAGAAGAAGAAGGTGCTGAAGCTGGGCCCGCTCAAGCGCAAGGACACCAAGAAGATGGTGCTGCACATGAGGAATGCGGGCACCTGCCCCTGCCCGCAGCTCGACAGCCTCAGCGGCAGCTTCCTGGGGATGGGC